GTAGTAGTAGTAGTAGTATGAGTATGTAGTATATTATGATGAGTCTTCTTCGTATTATTATTAATATGATTACTGACTAGTTCTTACTGTTTTTCTTGTTCTTCTTACCGTGATTGCTATTGTTCTCATTGTGATTCTACTCACCGAGACCTGCTTCGAACTCTAAATGCCATCTGTAAAGTGGCACTAGGTTCTGACTAATTGCGGAGCCTTTGTGGGGTCGTTCACCTGCCTCTCAGTTTCTGACTGCACCATCGGTCTCGCATGTGCCGAATCGGCAATGAAACCTCCATTGAGACGAACTGAGGGCCCTGGCGGCCTGAATAATTGGAAATACTTCCTCACTATAACTGTAGTACAACATACCCCATCACCCTGCTCTATTTACTAAAGCCCCTCAATATAAAACCCAAGACATCTTATAGAAGCCTCAGCATGTTGACGGATCTCAGCCTTATTCTAAGGATCGAGGCCCTTTTTTGTGGGGCAGCAGGACAAGATTCGTCACGCCACCGGCTGGGCCGCGAGGCACGATGCCTCAAGAGCTGGTCCCGGAGGTCTAGGATCTAAAGTTTAGGATTCTTTAAAAGGCATCTCAGATTTATGAAAGGGTTTCGGAAGCTTGTGTTTAGCTTGCTCTAAAGCTCAAAATAGCCCAACAGCCTGACACAGTATGGTCATTAGGACCACGAAGCTTTACAATCTAAGTCCTGAGAGTTTTAATGCTGCTGTAGGGACTCTAAATTAACATCTTCAGAGGCCTGATCGTGAAGGAATTAGGGTTTACGGGTTGTGGGTGTAAGTTTCGGGTTGAGCGGCTTACGGCCTACTTAAGAGCTTAGGATGGTTTAAGGGTTTATATAGGGTTTAAGCTTTATATAGGGTTTAGGGGTTAGGGTTGAGGGTTTCGTGTTACAGAGACCTAGACCCATTGCGGGTTCTGCGCATTGAGTCGTAGGCAGTAAACTCCTGAGCGCTGCGGGGCGGGTTCACTGTTGATGGATGCAGTATAGTGTCGCGGAGGGGTTTTACAGTTTATAAGGCTTAGGGCGTTTAAGGTATGAAGCTCCACTCACCAAAATCCCTGCGGTAACCTGCAGCACCTCTCTAAATAATGGGCATGGTATTTTTTCTTATGCTGTAGGTTTACCACCTTATGCACCCGGCTTTTCTTATGCTAACGGCTTCTGCCCTTATGCGAACCCGGCTCTTCCTTATGCGAACCTGGCTTATCCTTATGCGAACCTGGCTTTTCCTTATGCTCCCCCCTGCCCCCCCGCTGCACCCGCCCCCCTCCCCCCCAAACCTGGCTTTTCCTTATGCTCCCCGCACCCCGCCCTTCCGCCCCAAAACCTGGCTTTTCTTTATGAGTCTTGACTTGGTAAACTCACCACGTTGTGGATGAACACCCATCATGATATACAGTAAATAGGGATCCAGCATTGCTTCACAAAGTTGTTGCCCCTTTTCCTGGTTGCTCTTACAGGTCCTCCAGGAACTCAAACTTTGTCTCAGAGTGATATCTTTGGTACCGTCGAAATCTCTGCATCTTACGGCAGATCCGAATTCACAAAGGAAGCTAAACCAGGCTCAAGAAATCTTGTGATTCGGAGGCTGACCGACCACAGCAGCGGTTCACCGGCAGCCGAACACGTAGAAACAGTCAAGGTGTGCATCGTCCACAAGGCTGAAAGTCTCTTCCGATCGCCCACGAGCGAGTCACTCACTTGGATGCATCGTTCTTTCTTTCTTTCTTTCTTTCTTTCTTCACGATTCCGCAATACTCCCGACGATCCGACTTGCCTTGGCCAACAATCCACATGGCAGTTGGGGTCGTCGCTGTCTTCAGGATCATCTTCGGAATTTTGACCTTCAATGGCTGTCAAATGCTTCATCGAGAGTTCATGATGCTTCTCCCAATGTTCGATCAAGTCTCTTGAGTAGCAGATTCCGGCATCACGATAGCGTGGATCCTCGATCGGAGGACTGTAATTAGTGCTCTCAGGGCTGTGAGCACTTAACAACCTGCAAGAGCGTAGAATGTGAAACACCGTTTTGCGAACTGCCACGCCAGCTACATTTGACAGCCACTTTCGCGGGCTCGAGGGAAACGTCCATGCACACGATGAGACGGAACCTTTGATCCGACTAGATGACTAGATGCCCAGCCAGACCAAAGGCTTTCCAAATGAAACACGTTGCTGGAAGCCTGACAGCTGCTGCGCTCTACCTTTGACAGCCATTGGAACTGTAGCTGTTCTCCTTTGCTGGACTCTTGCGTGAAAGGTCAGCTCCGATTGACAGAATCTGTGGACGTCACCACACTGGGGACGGTGCAAACCCTTGACTTTTCTGGACGACAGACCTGGACGTGGCAAACCGCTGTACACACAGGGGACGTGCTTGGTGGACACGCTTCGAGGTGATGGTGGGAAGCGTTGCCTGATTTGCTCGTCGCGCAGCGGTCCTGTGAGCAGTCAGTCAAGCTGTCCCGCGACCCACTGTAGTCTGTGCATATAGGACCACGGGACACCTCGAAACCTTTGCACATGTCGCAGGAGAAATGCATGCCACCCACATCTCTCACAAGAACTGTGGTTGAGTAGGTCAGGCCTCCGAGGTCTCGCGGATGGTCATTCTGAACCATGGCGTCATCCACTCATCGCCGCCCATGTTTTCTCTTGCGACCGCGCTGCTTGGTTTCCGGCACACTGTTGAGATTGGGTGGCCCCCACACAAAGCACAAGCGTACTTAATGTGCTCGCACTTTGCGTGCAGGGCATAGTTGACGCACGTGCAGACGTTGTATATGCGCTCACCGTGACGACCCCGGGACAGTAGGCGTTCACACAGTGGCCCTCAAACACTACAACATGGTCAACGAAATACTTTTTCAGCGCCTTGCGATTCAAGACGCGCTGGTCCCCTTCCTGCACTTCCAGGATGCCGGAGGAAACCAGAAGGTCAGTCAGATCCGCACCGTCCTTGTAAAGCATCGCACACCAGGTGCGGGCAAGGGCCCGCATGGCAAGGGACATCGCACGCAACGCAGCTCTATGTCCTTTCCCTGCCCCGTTGACAGGTGCAGTCGGCGATGCCATGACCCAGAATGTGGTGTACTCTGACTCTCCTGTGCTGGGCCCGTTTGGAGTTCCGGTGCCTTAGAGTCTGACTGACACAATCGCATGGTCGCGCAGCGCACGCAGATGGAGACATGGAGGTGGACAGCCTAAACATTAAAACCTTGAGCATAAAGATGAATGCCCAGCCTCTAGCTAATTGCACTTAAGTAGCTAGGCCCTCACCAAAACATAACAACACAGAGGTCCGAACAGACATGTTTCAAACTATAGCCACACAAAGATATACATAGGTAGCTGTCTGAATCATCAGCAGCCCCAAACCCGTAACGCCAAACCCAGTTCAACTATTCTGGGGTGTGGGCTGATCTTTGCCACGACATCGTAGTCGTTCATCAGAGCGCCCAGGATCGCGTGACCGGCCTGTGATAGGGGTGTAAGCTTACAGTGCAGTCAAACGATTGAATCAAAAACCTTAAGCCCTAAACCCCGCTGTTTTGCGGGGTTGTAGGGATCTCATGGGTCATCGAGCTCGACATAACCTTCAATTAAGTGGCCTCCACTCAAGAGTTCGCATGCTTTGTCTTTGTTGGAGTTTGGGGCTCAGTTCTTCATGGCAGTTCCGGGCTTTAGGCGGCTCGTTGAGGTTTTCGGTTTACGCTAAGAGGGCTTTGTCAAACAAACCAGTAACACCGTTTGGGTCTCGGGGTTTAGAGTGGAAGCTTTGGGTTGTGGGCTCGGGGTTTGAAGGCTTCAGGCATTGGTTGAAGGAGGGCTTTCATGAGATCTGGGCTTCACCATAATTAACCCTGAGCCCCTCAAACCCTAACACCCAACACCAACCAAGGCCCTAAACCCCAGCTAAGCCCTAGAAAACGACCCTAAACCCTAGAAGAAGGCCCTAAACCCTAGAA